GAACTCGAGTAAAGTAAGAGTTTAGTCGAGTAGTTTTTTATTATTATATTTATTGGAACTCGAGTTATCGGCACGAACGAATGCGAGTTACGAGTGCGACAATGAGAGTGAGACCCGGAATTACCTGCCTTGTATACAGGGTGTAACAGAACTGGTAGTCACGGTTTATGCAGCCCTATCCTTGTTGAAAAAGAAGTCGAAAAGTTCTGTACTATTATTTCCTACAGTGCATAATTTTCCTGTAATAACTAACTGAAGCACAGTCAATTAATCGCGTTCCCCAACGGAAGACAACCGGAGAGGTTTGCAGCGTAAAAAAGTTATATATAATACATATTCGGCAGTATACAAGGTGCTGCGTTCGACTGTTTACAGTCGTAAAAAAGTTATACATAATATATATTCGGCAATATACAGGGTGCTACACACCTCACGGACAAAGAATATATGACGATAATCGCTGTTTACTTTTGAAATGGTGCACACCTTTTGTTAATTATAATTGTTAAATATAAAAATAATAAGTACTGAAATACCTTAACAATGAACAGGTAATTATTTTTGTACCGACAGATTTTATTTACGTGATTTTCATTCGCATAAATTGAGAGACGGGGGTATATTATTAAAATATGCGTATACGTGATACATTTAATAAATATACCATATGGTGTGATTTATTATATTATATTATTATAGTTATATGTACTCTATGTGAAATGGGGGACTCTTCGGGATCGACTTATGATGTCTCTCTCTTTCTCTCTTTTCCCAGCAGCCGGAAGGACGGAGCCGAGGTCGCAGCACCTCCTCCACATGTGGACGTCGCCGTCGCTCCTCAGGATCGGCCGGGCACCCAGGAAAAAGGCGACTGAGCCCTAGGAGGCCCCCCCACGATGGACAGGAAGAAGAGCCCGGCCTTCAGGAGGAAGCTCTCCTTCCTGGGCTTCGGGAAGAGGCCGTCGGTACGTGCCACCTGCTGTTCCCTCGTTTACATACAGTTTATGGAAAATCCGAGGAGAACGTTCCCTACCTCGGAACCCCGGTGTCGACTGTCGAGTAAACCCCGAGATGAATGTGCGGACGCTGCGCAGAGGAGCGCCGAGACGCACAGGAGGGCGATTAAGGGGATGTGAAAGTGGCGTCCGAAAGCTCAAACGTTCATAAAACTTTTATACTAACTGGGGGTCTCAAATCGTTTCATACTTCAAAACGTGAATATGGAGACCCTAAGGTAGGGCCTGAAACTCGCGAAATATCATCTTTTATCAACCATTTTTAAAATACCTATAAACAAAATTGAAAAGAATTGAAATTTCATGAGTTTCAGGACCTTCCTTATAGTCTACCTATTCACGTTGTAAGGTTTCAAACTATTCGGTAAACCGAGTTGGGAGAAAAGTTTTATAAAGAAAACCTCTTCGACGACACCTTCACATCACCTTAAGGGGATGCGAAAGTGGCGTCCGAAAACTCAAACGTTCATAAAACTTTTATACTAACTGGGTGTCTCGAATCGTTTCATACTTCAAAACGTGAATATGGAGACCCTAAGGTAGGGCCTGAAACTCGCGAAATATCATCTTTTATCAACCATTTTTAAAATACCTATAAACAAAATTGAAAAGAATTGAAATTTCATGAGTTTCAGGACCTTCCTTATAGTCTACCTATTCACGTTGTAGAGTTTCAAACTATTCGGTAAATCGAATTGGGAGAAAAGTTTTATAAAGAAAACCTCTTCGACGCCACTTTCACATCACCTTAAGGGGATGAGAAACCCCCTCAAATCGGTCGATTCGAATAAGACACTTCTTTGAGGGTATTGGATCGAACCGTCTGATATTCGTTATAAGAAATGAAATTTCACGAGGGTCAGGAACTTCCCCATAGCTTCCATATTCACGTTGTAAAGTGTAATAAGATTCGGCATACTTAGTTCCGTGAAAAGTTTCATGAACTCTTCGCATCCCCTTAAGGTGAAGTGAAACCCCCTTCAAATCAGTCCATTCGAATACAACACTTTTTTTAAGGGTATTAGACCAAACTGTCCGAAACTTTGACACATCAGTCCTGATCATCTAAGAATTGTCCTGACACATTCAAAATTTGGATTTTTTTTTTAATTTTTTAACTCAGCCCAAACCAGAACCAAATGTCCAGCGGTCATATTTCGATCAATATACAATTATCGAAGGCTCCGATATGAGAATCGAAAGGGTCAGGACAATTTTACGACAATTTGCAACACTCTGGTAATCGACAAACTCGCATTTGAACGGGATAAAGGCAAAAAAAGTGTTGTATGTGCTTATATGCCAAAACTATGGTAATACGAGGTCTCGGAGAGAAGATTTAATTGCCGTGGAAATCACAGATGGCGCAAGGGGTCTCTCTGCAGTCAATTAGGGCCCCAGAAAGCATGAATCCAGAGGATTTCTGGAGTTTTACTTCGATTTCTTTATAATTATTATACGAAAACGACAGGTGGAGTATGCCATTTGGTACAATATCCAATATAATTCGACACAGCTGTCAATATAAAAACGAACGTCGGCCACGTGGGTATTTAGAAAAATCTTTATAGACATCGATCAAGTTCCTCGACGTGTTTCACTCCACCTTAAGCCGCTATTAAAACATAATTCCGGAAGACGCGGAACTTTTCGCACCTCCGGGTACAGAGGAACAGGTGCGCACCGGGTACTCACCGGAATATCCCGATCGCCCCGCTAGTCGCGACCTTCTCTTTTTAACGGCCGAGTCGCCGCGGAAAGGGACCATTATAGTTTTTTTTTTTTCCCCGTTTCGCGCGGTACTCTTAAACGACACAATTGGCATCTAGCTCCGCTTAAGGATCGACTTTCAAGGGCGCTCATCGGCCTCGGCCGGGTCTTCTATCCCTGCCTCTTCTCCCGCCCTTGTTTTCTCTCACCTGGAATTACAATTTTCAAGGTTTCGTTAAGAGGAGAACGCGGACGCGCGGCTGGCGTCCCTTGGAGCCGTCTTCACGGCCTCCTACCTAAATACATGTATATAAATAAATTTTCCAACACATTTTATTAAATTGCCACTTTAGCACAATTCAATAAAATGTGTTGCAAAATTTATTGCTGTTATATTGCACGAGAAAAAAATTCATTGCTCTTATACTTTTCCGCAAAATGGTGGCGATGTCAGCTTTATATAAATCTAGCGTCGTTTATATAAATCTGGCGTCCCTTGGAGCCGTCTTCGCGGCCTCCTACCTAAATACATGTATATAAATAAATTTTCCAACACATTTTATTAAATTGCCACTTTAGCACAATTCAATAAAATGTGTCGCAAAATTTATTGCTGTTTTATTGCACGAGAAAAAAATTCATTGCTCTTATACTTTTCCGCAAAATGGTGGCGATGTCAGCTTTATATAAAACTAGCGTCGTTTATATAAATCTGGCGTCTCTTGGAGCCGTCTTCGCGGCCTCCTACCTAAATACATGTATATAAATAAATTTTGCAAAAAATTTTATTGAATTGCCACTTTAGCACAAGTCAATAAAATGTGTTGCAAAATTTATTGCCAATGGCAATTCAAGCTTTATATACATCGCTAATGTATACGTGTCAGGGATAGAGAGAAGGGAAAGAGACGTCGCGAGATCAGCCTCTCGTTAAGAACGACGCTTTAATCGATCTTAAGCGATCACACGTGGTCAGCCTTGGGCACATTAGCGCGTCTTCTGGGAGCGGCTATCCGAAGTCGCGGAGGCAGGACCCGGTCGCGAGAGGCCTGCGCTGCCGGTCCTCGTTTCTTCTTACCCTGGGCCCCCTAAAGGAAAAGTCCCGCTAGTAGCAGCGATCCCCCGGGATTTCGTCGCTAGCCCCTTCCGATGTCTCGTGTCAAGTGGTTATTGACTCCCACGACCGATCGGAATCGAACCAATCAGCGGCCTCCTCGAGGCCGTCCCGCTTGGTAATCCGTGTCGCACGCGAACGTGTCAAAGTTAGAGAGTGGCCCCGCGCGATAGGCGATAATTCGAACTGGCGAGCCAGTCCAGTTAGCGCGATCGCTTTGGAGATTTTCCGGTCTATCTCGGTGGGATTGTTTGGAAGGACGATTTCTTCTTTTTTTTTTAATTCTTTTTTCTTCTTTTTTTTTTTCGGCCCCTCGACGGGGAACGTCGCGCAGTTCGCAGTGAGAAAAGGACCTCTCTCGAGGCCGCCATGGTGACTTAAGGTGAAGTGAAACACGTCGAGGAACTTGATCGACGTCGATAAAGAAGATTTTTCTAAATGCCTACATTGCCGGTGTTCGTTTTTATATCGACAGCTGGGTCGAATTATATTCGGTATTGTACCAAATGGCATACGCCACTTGTCGTTTTCGGATAATAAATATCAAGAAATCGAAGTAAAACTCCAGAAATCCTCTGGTTTCGGGTTTTCTGAGGCCGTAATTGACAGCAGAGGGACCCCCTGCGCCATCTGTGAGTTCAGTGCCAACTAAATTCTCTCTACGAGACCTCGAGTTAACTTCGTATTAGCGCAAATGCGCACGGGACACTTTTTTGCCTTTATTACGGTCAAATCGAGTCTCTCGATTACTTGAGTGTTCTAAAAGATTGTGCAATTGTCCTGACACTTTCGTTTCTCATATCTGAGCCTTCAATAATTGTATATTAAAGGAAATATGAGAGTGCCATTTTGGTTCTAATTTAGGCTGTCACGTGTTTTCTTTTTTCTTCTTTTTTTCTTTTTTCGAAAATCCAAGTTTTGAATGTGTCGGGATAATTCTTCGGTGCTTACGAGTCATGTGTCAAAGTTTCGGAGAGTTCGGTCCAGTATTGTTAAAAAAAAAAAAAAAAAAAAGAAAGAGTGTCTTGTTAGAATGTTTTTTTTTTTCGAAAATCCAAGTTTTGAATGTGTCGGGATAATTCTTCGGTGCTTACGAGTCATGTGTCAAAGTTTCGGAGAGGTCGGTCCAGTACCGTTAAAAAAAAAAAAAAAGAAAGAGTGTCTTGTTAGAATCGACTGATTTGAGGGGGACTTCACTTCACCTTAATAGGCACACCGTTAAAAGTGAGATATTTCAAACACTTTCGAATCCAATTGTATCCTGGAACGAGAAATGGCGGCACTTGAAATGAGAAACTGGGAAAATATACTGTTACACGTTTCGGAAGCGCCATTTTTATGTGAAAATTCTGACAAAAGTGTGTACAAGATTTTCAACGAAATGGTAAGACGAGGGAAGCGCTAGAGATGTTAGTAAATGTAGTACGACAAAGCGTTTTACGAAATACATACGAATATATTAGGTTGAGAGATAAGTTCCCCCTTCTGTCGGTGCACCCAGTTTAGAGAAACGTTTTATAAATATTTTGACATTTTGTTATGTATCACAATTTCATGTCACCTTAAGGGGATGTGAAAGTGACATCGGAAAGGGGTGAATCGTTAATGAAACTTTTCTCCGAGCAGGATGTACCGAATCATTTCAAACGTTACGAAATGAACATGGAGGCGCTAAGGAAGGTCCTGACACCCACAAAATTTCAATTTTTATAAAACATTTTGATAACATCTATAAAGAAATTAAAAAATAGTTGAAATTTTATGGATGTCAGGATCTTCCTTATAGCCTCCCTATTCACATTGCCAAGTTTGAAACGATTCGGTACCACCCAGTTCGGAGGAAAGTGTCATAAATAGTGCGAGCCCCTTTGACGCCACTTTCACATAACCTTAAGGAACAAGTAAACCTCCCACCGTGACGAATAAATTACCCACCGAAGTCGCGGAAAGTGTATCGGCCTCCGTACTGCACATCACCCGGGATCATCCCGACCTTGGCTCTCTGCCGAAACTGGCGAAGAGCTGCCGGGTGCCAAAAGTGACGTCACGCGTCACGTGGTCCGGGTGATCCTGGACGCAGACTCCGCGTCGCGGTCGGATAGCCCGCGACAAGGTCCACGCGTCGCCCCGAGTCTCTTTCGGACCCTGAAGATGCGCTCGCCAAGTTCAAGGTCGGCGGAGCGTCGACCCGTCTTGGAGGCGGCGGCCTCGGGTCGGCGGTCGCCGATCCGCGCGGGAAGTGCGCACGCGCGGACTCCCTTGCAGTTGCAGCCCCGCAGGGGTCGATATATCAGGATCTGGGGGAACGATACAAGGGTGGGAGGCCTTTTCGACGGCGGTAGAGGTCGGCTCGTCGAGTGTCGGCGCCGGCCACGTGTCGTCGAAGGGCCGAGCCTCCGTCTTCGACTCGCGGGTCGGGGAACGTCCTCGCGACCAAGCTCGACCCCCGGGTTCAAGGCCGACCGCGGTCGATGCGACGAGTGCTGCGAGCGGCGTTTAAGTTACCCTCGGTCGAGGAACCCGCCCGCACCTCCCCGAAAGCCTCCAAGCAGCGGACCTTAAAACCGCGACCCTCCACTCCGGGAGTTCGAGGGCGCGGCCTCGACCACGGCGCACCTTGATCTCCTCGCGGTCGATACGTGAGTTATGATCCGGCCTTTTAATTAAGGGTTATGTAGGTTACACTCGAGGGCATCGGGACGCCGAAACGCGAGTCGATAAGAGGATTATCGCGACCCTCGCGGGACGGGGAGGCAGTCTTCTTGCAATCGGTCCTTCAGAGGTCGGCGCATGGAGACTGCTCGGCGCCCCTTAAAATACGTCCCTAAAGCTAGCAGCGCACGTAAGCATAACAGCATAAATCATACACTAAAATTTATTGCTTTTTTATTGCTTATTTATTACACAAATTTGAATTTTATTGCTCCAGGCGTTTTAAAAAAAAATCAGTGCCTATGCTAGCTTTAACATTAAGCCGGCAGCGCCACCTGACATTTTGAGTGAAATTAAAAAAAAAAAAAGTGGTGCAAAATGTAAGAAAAATTTCTTGCTTATTTATTGCTCAATTTACAATTTCACTGCTCCACCCCTTGAGTCCAAAAACTACCCCCTCCACATATACGTGAACTGCCTGTCCTTCCTAACTGGCATAAATACATTTAAAAAAAAATAAATTACTTCTCGGGTCAAGCAATAAAATCCTGCACTATGGCAGAATGCTGACGTGGCGCTGCTAGCTTTAGGGACGTCTTTAAAATCGGGAGTTATCTGGGCACTTGCACGCATCGTGGCACCGAAACGGAGAATGGATGAGAGGGTTAGCTCGGAGTCCTCTGGCGGGACCGGAAGTCGGGGTAGAGAGGCGGCCTCCTTATCTCTCGCGGTAAAGTCGACTTCGGGGGTAGCGGAGGTATGTCCGCCGCCCTTTAGATAGAATTACCCACGGCCGAATACAGAGCATGGATTGTGTCACCGAAACACGAGTAGATAAGATACTAGCTCGGGGATGTCCCGTTCTAGACGGTAGAATCGGACGTTCGCGCAGAGAGGCGGTCTCCTTGAGCTTTCCTCTCTCTCGGTCGATGCATCACGTCCTGCGCCCTTCATTTAGAAATTACGTGGTCCGTCATGGAGCACCACATGACCGAAACGCGAGTCGGATAAGGAGGTTACCTCGGGGACCTTCCGCGGTTCTCCGGCGCGGGCCCGGAAGTTTGCGCAGGGAGGCAGTCGTCGGTCTGCGCAGGGTCGGCGGCGGCCTTGACCTTGGCCGCGGGGCCGGCGGCCGCCACCGGTTGCGCGCTTCGGCCCGGCGGCATCGAGCGGGGCTGCAGCCGGGCTTCCGGTCGACCGGCAAGCGTCGTCCCGGGTACCGGAAGTAGCCCTTGGGTGGGGCGGGCGGGCCGCCGAGCGCGCGCGCGCGCCGTTATCGAGCGGCCGCGCGCGCGTTTACCCCTTGCCCGGCGGGGCCCGCTCTTCCCGGAGGCTCCCGGGAGGCTCTCTCCGGCCTCGGACCATTCGCACCCGGGATGCCATGCCCGAGGCCGGCGGCGCCAGCTCCACCGGGAAGTCGTTCCTTCAGCGCGCCCGCGGGAAGGTTCTCCACTGGCTGCGGCGCTCCCTGCGGACGCGCCAGGTTGTCGCCCGGGGAACTCCTCGGGGAACTCTTCGCCGACCTCTTCCGCGAGCCTCCTCATCGGGACCTCGATTCCCGCGACCTTGTCCTCGACCGACTTCGCCGCTCCCGAAGATCCTCGCGGAGGCGGTCGACCTCGGGGACCCTTTCTTGCGACCCCACCGACGGGAACTAAAGTGTCGCCTTCGACGTTTCAGACCGACGGACATGGCGCGGAGACGGGACCGGAGCTCGACGAGGAGATGGAGAAGGTCTTCGCCATGGACGCCGGGGAGAAGTTCGACGTAGCCCGGCTTGGGTCACCCTCCGAGTCGGCTGGATCCGACCGGGACCGAGACCGGGGCGCCCAGCCTCGTTATGGCGACCGCGACCGCGACCTCAACCGTGAGTTGCCCCAACGAGATCGTTCATCGGCCGGCCTACCTAGGGCATTCTCAGCAGGACGCCTGCCTCTGTTTCCAGAACACCGGAAGAGAAGCTACCCCCATCCCCACATGCCGCTGAAGAGTCTGCGGTCCCGGTCCATGCGACGACATCTCTCGCCGTAAGTCCGGAGGCCCCTGGAGGAGGTCCGATCGATCGTCGGAAGGTCCTCTCCGTCCTGAACCCTTTCTGCTCATCTGACCTCCTATCTGACGGGCGAGAGACCTACCGCACGCGAGTCTCTCTAAAAATAACCGCGACCCGCACGGCATCCGCGACAATTTCGTGACCACCTCGACGATGATTACGTGGCGTCGCGTCTCCTGCTGACACGAGCTTTCCCCGGGTCTCGGTTGCTCCTCGGTTTGCTTCGTTTCTAAATGCGGGGTGCTCGGATCGGGGGATTTGATATTAATCGGAGGATTTTATCAGTCACGGCTACTTTTGCCCGAATGTCGCGGATCGGTCGCGGGTTCGGCGACTTTTAAATTGACGTCGATTTTCCCAATGTCGCGATTTATGCTGACAAGAGGTTTATCGGTATGCGGTTGCTCATCGGTTTAAATGATTTCTAAGTACAGTGTCTAGGTCGGGGATTTTTTAATAGCCACGGCTACTTTTGCTCGAATGTCGTGGATCGCGGGTTCGGCGACTTTTAAATTGATGTCGATTTTCCCTATGTCGCGATTTTTGCTGACAAGAGGTTTATCGGTATTCGGTTGCTCATCGATTTAAATTGTTTCTAAATACACAGTGTCCAGGTCGGGGATTTTTTAATAGCCACGGGTACTTTTGCTCGAATGTCGTGGATCGCGGGTTCGGCGACTTTTAAATTGATGTCGATTTTCTCTATGTCGCGATTTTTGCTGACAAGAGGTTTATCGGTATGCGGTTGCTCATCGGTTTAAATTGTTTCTAAATACACAGTGTCCAGGTCAGGGATTTTTTAATAGCCACGGATACTTTTGCTCGAATGTCGCGGGTCGCGGGTACGGCGATTTTTAAATTGACGTCGTTTTTCCCAATGTCGCGTTTTTTTTGCTGAAAAGAGGTTTATCGGTATTCGGTTTGTTATCGGTTTAAATTGTTTCTAAATACACAGTGTCCAGGTCGGGAATTTCATAAGGGTCGCGGGTCGCGGATTCGGCGATATTGAAATTGACGTCAATTTCCCCAATGCGGCGTTTTTTGCTAACAAGAGGTTTATCGGTATGCGGTTGCTTATCAGTTTAAATTGTTTCTAAATACAGTGTCCAGGTCGGGGATTTTTTAATAGCCACGGTTACTTTTGGTCCAATGTCGCGGATCGCGGGTTCGGCGACTTTAAAATTTATGTCGATTTTACCAATGTCGTGTTTTTTGCTGACAAGAAGTTTATCGGTATTCGGTCGCTTATCGGTTTAAATTGTTTCTAAATATAGTGTCCAGGTCGGGGATTTTTTAATAGCCACGGATACTTTTGCTCGAATGTCGCAGATCGCGGGTTCGGCGACTTTAAAATTTATGTCGATTTTGCCAATGTCGTGTTTTTTTGCTGACAAGAGGTTTATCGGTATGCGGTTGCTTATCAGTTTAAATTGCTTCTAAATACAGTGTCCAGGTCGGGAATTTCATAAGGGTCGCGGGTCGCGGATTTGGCGATATTGAAATTGACGTCAATTTCCCCAATGCGGCGTTTTTTGCTAACAAGAGGTTTATCGGTATTCGGTTGCTCATCGATTTAAATTGTTACTAAATACACAGGGTCCAGGTCGAGAATTTTATAAGAGTCACGTCTACTTCTGTTCGAATGTCGCGGATCGCGGGTTCGGCGACTTTAAAATTTATGTCGATTTTGCCAATGTCGTGTTTTTTGCTGACAAGAGGTTTATCAGTGTTCGGTTGCTTCGTTATTAACCGCGAATGCCAAAATCGAGGGATTTGTAATAATTCAGAGGTTTTATATGAGCTGTCTCACACGTTTTGCTCACGTTTGGCCCGATTGACATACCACGTCTCTCACACGTTTTGTTCACGTTTAGCCCGATTGACATACCACGTCTCTCCCACGATATTGTATATGAAGAGGTTAAAACGATTTGGTACATCAAGTTCGAAAGAAGTTTCATAATCGAAACTTCGACCTAATCGTTCTCCAGTTTTTATATTTATCATTGAGGGCGACTTTTACCTCGATTTGGAACGTGGCGATTTCCTCCAGAATATTAGGAAAACCAAAAGCCTAGGCTTTTTAAATGTTTCTTTTCAACTCTTTTTCTTCTATTTTTGGGATGAGGAAACCGTGGTGGGTAGACTTCGTCGTCCATCCTGGTCGCGGAATTTCCTCGCGGGGCTTCCGCGACCAGGAGACACCTGCGTGAACGATTCCGCGAGGGTGGTCATGCTCGGATCGTATGCGGCGACCCTGGCATCGAGATTAGTCGATCGATCGACGTCCGGAGCGATTTCCGTCAAACTCTTCCGAACGGCCAGCCCCGGGTCATCCCTCGACCGAGTTAGCAGTCCCTCGATGCCGGGGATGTCGCTAGTAAGGGCTCTCAGAAGTCTGCGAGCGTGCTGCGCCGGTAGACGACGGTACCGAAACCCCCAGCCCGTCCTATTCCTACCCCAGGTTCTTTTCTATCATCGGACCCTACGTTTGCACTGTCTCTCATTTCGTTATCCCATTCATCATTACTCCTCATTAATGCCTGACTTTATTCGGTAGAAAATTTCTATCGAGTAGCAAAAGCGTTATTAAGGTGAAGTGAAACCCCCTTTTTTAAAGGGTATTAGACCAAACTGTCTGAAACTTTGACACATCACTCCTGATCGTCTAAGAATTGTCCTGACACATTCAAAATTTGGATTTTTTTTTAATTTTTTAACTCAGCCCAAACCAGAACCAAATGGTGTCCAGCTCTCATATTTCGATCAATATACAATTATCGAAGGCTCTGATATGAGAAACGAAAGGGTCAGGACAATTTGACGACAATTTAGAACACTCTGGTAATCGATAAACTCGCATTTGAACGGGATAAAGGCAAAACAAGTGTTGTATGCGCTTGTATGCCAAAACGATGGTAATACGAGGTCTCGGAGTGAAGATTTAATTGACCTGGAAATCACAGATGGCGCAGGGGGTCCCTCTGCAGTCAATTAGGGCCCCAGAAAGCATGAATCCAGAGGATTTCTGGAGTTTTACTTCGATTTCTTTGTAATTATTGTACGAAAACGACAGGTGGAGTACGCCATTTGGTACAATATCCAATATAATTCGACACAGCTGTCGATATAAAAACGAATGTCGGCTACGTAGGCATTTAGAAAAATCTTTATCGACGTCGATATCAAGTTCCTCGACGTGTTTCACTTCACCTTAAGCCTTCGGTCCAGTTACCCAGGTGAACTTGTGCCCTAAGACCGTCAGTGTTCCAGGGAAGGTTCCAGTGCGGAGGCCGGCCAGGACGAGGAGAACGGGGCGCACGGCCTAAACAGGAGCGGAAGCGGAAGTGGAGACTCGAGGAGCGATGCCACGGACCCCGTGCCCGAGACCCAGGTGGTGGTGCCCGGAGACGGCGACGCCGTGGACGACGTCGAGCCCAGCGAGTACCTTGACGAGGAAGATGCCACCGTGGAAGAGGACCAACCGATCCTCGAGGAGACCGCGCACGTGGGCAGCGGAGAGAGCGAGGCTCCCATATCCGAGAGGGCGGCCTCGGGGTACTCCGAGAGCCCCTCCAAGGGCAGTCCCAGGGTGCAGTTCGAGCGGATCCGGGAAGAGGAGGCGGAGAGCAACCCGGTAGTCGAGGAGCCGACGGGCACCGACGACCGCAAACCTCGCAGACACCACAAGCACGATCATAAGTGAGTGGCGACGAGCACAATCGGTCTTGGTTTTAGTCCAGGTAAACGGCGACGAACACCGTCTAAGTTTGGTTTTGGTCGAGGGAAATACTGATGAGAAGGGTCGACCCTCGATTTTGGTCGACGTAAATAGCGATGACCACGGTGGAGCTTTGGTCTTGGTCCTGGACTCTTATTCGCGAGGTTATGCGGATGTTTGTAGCATACGAATAGATTCGCATTAAAAATGTCGCATTGTTGCGAAATCGCGTCATTGATTAACATTCGAAAGTTTCATACGAAACTGTCAATTTGGCATAAGATATTTGATCGTATGAACTCGAGAATCGAGTCCCTGGGCTCCTATTCTCGAGTTCATGCGGATGTTTATCGGATACGAATAGATTCGGATGAAAAGTGTCGCGAAGTCGCGTGATTGGTCAAGATTTGAAAGTTTCATACGGAAGAAATCTTAAAAAAAAAATATGTCGCTTGAGATACTTAGCAAAGATTACAAAGAAATATTTAGATATTATTCTGTGCTACTAGGGACGTAAGAGGGAAAAATCGCGGAGAGGTCGTCATCTGGGAACGACTCGAGGCCAGGATCGGCAGACAGTGGAGCGAACAAACGATTCTCGAGTTAATGTGGATGTTCATCGTATACGAATAGATTCGCACGAAAAATGTCGCATTGTTGCGAAGTCGCGTGATTGGTCAAGATTCAAAAGTTTCATACGGAAGAAATCTTAAAAAAAGAAATCTGTCGCTTGAGATACTTAACAAAGATTACAAAGAAGTATTTAGATATTATTCTGTGCTATTAGGGGCGTAAGAGGGAAAAATCGCGGAGAGGTCGTCATCCGGGAACGACTCGAGGCCAGGATCGGCAGACAGAGGATCGTGCGCGACCTAGACCCGCGATAGTTTAGGGAGGGAGAATGCACGGGGTACGGCCTGGTGCCATGGCCGAGGGCCAGGTCTCGTTTGCGCAGTTCCCTCGACGCGGCCTTAGCCTTAGAGTTAGCGGTGGTGGTAGCCGTTGTCTCAGTCGTCGTGTCGCCGACCAACCTCGTTGTTTTCGATCCTTTCGATCCTTTGGAGGGCTCGGGATCGGCTCGAGGCCGCCATGCCGGTCCATCGCGCGCGCTCGCCGGATCGGATGGATCCGTTCAGACGGTACGGCGTCCACCCCCGCGGCCGATTAAGGGGATGTGAAAGTGCCGTCGAAGAGGTCTCGTTTATGAGGCCCTTCTCCGGACTGGGTGTACCGAATCGTTTCAAACTTCACACCGTGAACATGGAGACTAGGAGGAAGGTGTCGACCCTCATGAAATTTTATATTTTTTGAAAAATGTTGAAAGTATATATAGACAAATTTGAGAAAAATTGACATTTCATGGACGTCAGGACCTTCCTTATAGCCTCCGAATTCACATAGTAAAGTTTTAAACGATTTGGTAGTTTAGTTTGGTTTGGTGGTTTAGTTTAAAACTTTACTATGTGAATTCGGAGGCTATAAGGAAGGTCCTGACGTCCATGAAATTTCAATTTTTCTCAAAATTGTCTATAGATATTTTCAAAATTTTTCAAAAAATATAAAATTTCACGAGGGTCGACACCTTCCTCCTAGTCTCCATGTTCACGGTGTGAAGTTTGAAACGATTCGGTACACCCAGTTCGTAGAAAAGTTTCACGAACGATTGATTCTTCAGATCTCACTTTGACATCCCCTTAAGGTGACACGAAAGGGTCATTCTATATACTTAAACGTCAAAATATTGACAAGACTTTTCCCTAAACCGGGTCCGCCGAATCATTTGACACTTCAACACGTGGTTAGGAGGCTCTAAGGAAGAACGCGATGTTCGTGAAATTTCATTTTTTCACGAAAAAAAAAAAAAAAAGAAAGAAAAGAATGTGGTCTTAGTTCTAGCCTAAGGTAAATGAAACAAATTTTCGTGCGAAAAGAAAAATGAAATTTCAGGAGCACCGGTCCTTCCTCAGGGCCTTCCCAATCACCTGAAGAAGTTTCAAACGACGCGCTTAGTTTAGAAGAAAAAAAAAAAGAAAGAGGTATAAATATTTTCACATTTTGAGATCTAGAATGACCCTTTCGTATCGCCTTAAAGAGCCATAGCCTTCTTCGGGTTCGGCCGCACCCGGAGTGCCTCGTCCGGGACGGGCGAGCTCGGTGGGCCTCTCCACTGGAGATCGGAGGACTCGCCCTAAGGTGTTCGAGCCTCAGGAAATCGAAAACCAAAACCAAAACCGAGTGCGATCGGGGCGTTTGGTTTGGCGACCGGAGGGAAGTCGGTGGCAGTCGGAGACCGTAGGCGACGAGGCACTCCGCTCTTCGGGCCGACTCAGGGAAGGAGAGTCGGTGCGTTTTCCAATTCTCACCCGGGAGCTGGTGATGCTTATACATCGGCTCGCGCTTGTTAGCTCCTTTATTTGCCTTTATTTTTGGTACGGCAATGAAACACCGTGGTCGCCGCTGCCAGAGGGTAGGCCGGTTGCGCGAGGTCTCGGCGACGGTGACGCTAGTTAATGTCTCTTCCTTTGAGTGACGAGGCGAGGCCGAGCTCGCCGGTGCCCGTGCGAGACGCGTTACGTCGCCAAGGACAATTACGAGAAAGGGAAGTCGAGATTTGGCCAAGTCGATATACTCGATATACCGCCCCGTTGTCGACGCCAGGGACGATTACCAAGAGGCGAAACTGGCAGCGACCGGACGTGCATACCTTCGCGCGATAACGTAACCGATTGCCGGAACTCCGACCGATAGAGATGGATATATCGGTACACGTGTACATCCGTATATGACGGCTAGAGGAGGAAGTCGCCCTTGGGCCCGGGGTCCGAGGGGATATTCACTCAGGAAATGATGGATTTTAACCCTTTTGCGACCAGCGCCGGTTATATCCGACATCCACCAAATGCTTCACCCTGGCCAGCGGCATCCACTAAACGCATCATTTTCTTTTATTTTTTTTTTATTTATTATACGCAAACATATGATTGCATTTATAACAGCGCCGGTTATATCCGACATCCACCAAATGCTTCACCCTGGCCAGCGGCATCCACTAAACGCATCATTTTCTTTTTTTTTTTATATATTATACGCAAACATATGATTGCATTTATAACAGCGCCGGTTATATTCGACATCCACCAAACGCTTCACCCTGGCCAGCGGCATCCACTAAACGCATCATTTTCTTTTTTTTTTAATTTATTTATTATACGCAAACATATTATTAGAGTATATCTAGCTGTTTTGCGCGAGACCCTATTAATGTATATGGTGTATCCTGATGGATTGCTCCGCGGTCGCGAAAGCGTTAAGGGGATGTGAATGTGGCATCCGAAGAGACAATCGTTCATGACACTTTGCGTCGAGCTGGTGTACCGAATCGTTTCGGATTTTACAGCATGAATGTGGAGGATATATGGAAGGTTCTGATGCTCATGAAATATCATGTTTTTTTTTTATAACTAATTTTACAAATGTCTATTAACACATTAAGGACCGCTCACGAGTTGCCCGTGCGGTGCGTGGTCTGTGCGGTCCTGGGCGTATGTCTTATAGATTTCTTAGCGGTCCTTAATGTGTTAAGAGATTTTTTGAAAATTTGTAATTTCATGAGCTCCTTCCTTATACGCTCTATATTCATATTGTGAAGTTTGAATCGATTCGGTATACCCGGTTTGGAGAAAAGCTTCACGAACGAGAACTCTTGGACGTCACTTTGACATCACCTTAACGATGGAAATCAGCTGGAAATCGTAAGCAGAAGTCACTGTAAATCATAGTTATGAAAATCATATTCCATGATTGACCCAAGAAAACTCATCGATTTCCTGCGTATGTGGTGGCCGCGGCGAAAACGCCCAGGGTGACCCGTTCCGTTTGAACGCAGGCGTTGTTAATATTCGGGTGGCAAAGTCAGGTGCAAAAGCGCATACTGGAGGAACCTGAAATTGTCCTTAGGCAAGAGAAAAACCGAAGTTTCATGGTTTCAGACGGCACCACTACAAGTCCAGGAAGTACTCTCTCCAGGAGGACCCGCAATGGCGGAAACGCTCGGGAGCTGGCCTCCCGGACGGGGTGGGTCTCCTGACGAGGAGGGTCAGCGTGCAGCCGGAGGAGGCGAGCACCCTCCAGGAGCTGGACATCGACGACCTGGAGTCCCACAGGAGCGACGACCCCAGGGGCATGCGGAGGCACAAGGCCTCCACCGTCCAGATCGGCCGCCGGAAGGAGGGCGGCATACCCCACGACACCCTGAAGAAGATGTACGACCACTCGCCCCACGAGGTCTTCGTCCAGCTCGACGAGCTCCACGGGGTCGGCGAGGAACGCGAGTGGCGCGAGACCGCCCGCTGGATCAAGTACGAAGAGGACGTTGAAGAGGGTGCCGACAGGTGGGGCAGGCCCCACGTGGCCTCGCTCAGCTTCCACTCGCTCCTGAACCTGAGGAGATGCCTAGAGACCGGCGTCGTCCTCCTCGACCTGGAGGAGCGAGACCTCCCAGGCCTGGCCTACAGGGTCGTCGAGCAGATGGTCGTCGAGGAGCTCATCCTACCCGAGGATCGCCCCATCGTCATGAGAGCTCTTCTCCTTAGACATCGGCATGTACACGAGCACGATCGCGGCTTCAGGTTCGGCATGAAGCGCAACTACTCCAGCTACACCAGTCTGCAGGTGCGTTCGCCCTGAAGAGCGCTTCTCTTGGGTGGTCATCTCCAGGTGGATCCGACTGACGATTTGCGCGATGGCTACTCTGGCTTACGGAACGAAATTCCCGGTTTTTCGGTCTGGTCTACACTGAGCGAATAAAACACTTTTTTTTTTAATTTATTTATTATACGCGAGGGAATTTTATTAATATATATATTATACGCTAGGGAATGGGAAGAGAAATTCATTGATCGGATTGAGCGTAACTGGTTACTATCAATGATATAAGATGGATTGAAATTAAAGGAAATTATTGACAATGCTATGTTTTCTTAAAAACGGCTTTAACGAGGTGGTTTGACTCGTTATCGTTGCATTTTATGGACATGGACTTGTTAGAGTGATATCATTGATTCGCTTTGAGGAGTGAAAGGGTTTGAAAGAATTAATATTAATGTAGCTAACTAGAATTTATTAGTGAATTAGCGGTATGTCTCGTGTCTTTCCGCAGACCTCTGGCAGGTACCGGTGAACTCCCTCTTGCAATGACTTGAAATAATATTTATTTGTCGTTAATTGTTGAATTCGACATTCTGCCCAAAGTATGATATAAATTTAAGTAAAATTTTCAATAATTGAGACCAATTTTATAGACGAATTTCTCTTCCATTCCATATTGACTTATCATTTGAGTTGCTCCACTGATGATTCTTATAAAATCAATTTCACCGGAGCTGGGAAATTTCTTTACCAAGGAACATTTATATCGTAGAAAGTAATTAAGATGATGAAAGTGGTATCTGAGGAATCGACCGTTCAAGAAACTTTTCTCTAAACTGACCGTACCGAATAGTTTCAAATTTTACAACGTGAATATGGAGTCTATAAAGAAGGTCCTAACACTCATGAAATTTCATTTCTTATACAAGATTTAAAAAATACCGAAAAAAAAAAAAAAGAAATTGAAATTTCAAGAGTGTCGAGACCTTCCTTATAGTCTCCACATTTATACTGTAAATTTTAAAACGATTCAGTAAGCCCAGATAAGTGAAAAGTTTCATAAACAAAACCTAAATTTGACACGCCAGGTTGAACATCGCAGATAATGACTAGGTCTGAGTTTCTTAACTCTTGGAGCGCTGTCGACGCATATGTGCGTCCGACATTTGGCCCAATATCGCGCGCACGGTCTAAGGAAATTCGCCCGTATGTCGAAAGTGCTTAGCGCTCAAAGGGTTAATCCGACGCCACTTTAATATCGCCTAGATAGTGAATTTTTCGCTCGGTGCAGTCCAACGTATCACTTCGTATTGACTATCAACAGGTAATCCGAGGAATGGTGCGAGGAAGAGGTGGTTCCTCTAATTTCCAATAGCCCCGACCGAGCGCGATAACGTAGATAACGAAAGACCGTCGACGTGTTACGCGTAGACGTAGAGAATCGGTGGTAGCCGACCCGATTGCGAAATGACTGACCGCATCCTAATATTGTTTCCACAGTCCATCTGGCTGGAGGAAGAAGAGGCTGCGCGGGAAGCCGCTGAGAACCGTGTGACCCAACATGTAAATCTCTCTCTCTCTCTCTCTGTCTGCTATTTCTCTGTCACTATGTCACCCCTCACTCCGTCATCCGCCACCACCAAGCGTAATCTCTCGACTCTTCTCGCTAGTTACTAGGATCCTCTTCCACCTTGGCCGTTCCTGTCGTACGTTTGAATCCCGCTAGAGTTAGCGGCATGAACTTACAGGACACCGGGCAAGAGCGATCCCGATGAAGTAGCTCCGTATATTCGCCATTTCTTTCCGACCTTACTAACCAGTTCAGCCGATGTCAATCGAGCCTGGAACCATACCAAAGCCCTGTAAGTCCATGGTCGTCCGTAGCACGCATCTCTCAGCTTCATCGTCTCTTCCTCCCATCTCTGTCCCCCCCTAAGATAATTCGGCTGCCGGCGAAATCGGAGCCCAGAAAGGGAGAAAAGAGAAAAAAGAAGGAAAAAGAAAAGAAAGAAAGAAGGAGAGAAGCTCCTCTCGGGCCCCAAGCATGGTTATATCTCGCGTTTGCACCCCCTTCCACCCATCAAAGGACCCTCTCGCCGTGCCATCCTTGATTAGAGTCGACTTAGCCTGTTAGTCCTTAGTTGATTTCCGTTCCGGATAGCTGGCCTCGCATCGGGCCTCCCCCGGGTACTCGAAGCCCCGTGAAAAAGAAAGAAGTGATCCCCCATACCCCGGTACCATGGGATGTCTGCCCTCTCTTCGTTGACCCCGGGGGGAAGTCGCGAGGCCCTTAGACGCACTCTTCCCCGAGGACATTTGTCGTGGCCCGGGATTCCCTGGGGACCTATCGCTCATCCTTGCGTTTGTATTCTTCCGCAGAACCTAAACCACGACAACAAGCCGAAGATCGTCTCCTCGAACTCGGCCCTGGACACCAATCATACGACGGTCGACATGAAGGAGGAGCTGACCTACACGAGTAGCAACGAGGACCTGAAGAAGGGGCACAACGACCACATCCTGAAGAGGATTCCAGCCGGGGCAGAGGCGACCGTCGTGCTCGTGGGAGCCGTGGACTTCCTGGACCAGCCCACCATCGCGTTCGTCCGACTCGCCGAGGGCGTCTATATCCCATCCATCACCGAGATCACCATCCCCGTCAGGTTCGTCTTCGTCCTGCTCGGCCCCAGGAATGCCGACCTCGACTACCATGAGATCGGTCGGTCCATCTCCACCCTGATGGCGAACACGTCCTTCCACAAAGTGGCATATAAGGCGAACGAGAGGAGGGAGCTGCTCTCCGCCATCAACGAGTTCCTCGACGACTCCATCGTGCTGCCTCCTGGGAACTGGGAGAGACAGGCGTTGCTGCCCTTCGACGAGCTCAAGGCCAAGAGCGAGGCCATCCGCAAGCGCAAGGCCAAGGCCCTCGAGGAGAAGAGCAAGCCGGTGCTGAGCGCCACCATTGTTCCCGGGAAGAAGGGTAAGACGTGGATCGGGATTGCTTGGAGGTGGACGGTGGCGAAGCTTCGGGACTGGTACTATAAGGGACGTCGAAATTTTCAGCCCTTTTAGCAGGTGATGGCGAAAAGAAGCCGCCTCCCGACGACGATCCTCTACGGCGCACCAGGCGACCCTTCGGCGGCCTCATCAACGACATCAAGAGACGTTATCCGTTCTACTTGTCGGACTTCACCGACGGCTTGAGCTCCTCGTGCTTGGCGGCGGCGATCTTCATGTACTTCGCAGCCCTGTGCACCGCTATCACGTTCGGGGGTCTCCTGAGCGATAAGACACGCAACACCATCGGCATCTCCGAGACCCTGGTCTCCTGCTCATGGACGGGCGTGATAATGGCCCTCTTCGCGACCCAGCCACTAGTGATAATCGGCACCACCGGGCCTTTGTTGCTCTTCGACGAGAGTCTCTTCGAGTTCTGCCTGGCCAACGGGCTGGAGTTCCTCACGATGAGGGTCTACGTCGGAGCCTGGATGGGCATCATCGCTCTGACGGTCGCCTGCGTCGAGGGCTCCGTCTTGGTCAGGCTCTTCACCAGGTTCACGGAGGAGATCTTCACCGGGCTGATATCCATCCTGTATATCGTCGAGACTTTCATCAAGCTCTACAACTACTTCGTCAGAAACCCTCTCTTGCCCGAGTACTGCTTCGGCGAGCTGGGATTTGTATCCGAGAACGAGACCATCGTCTCGTCGACGACGATCTCGACGACGACCACCTCTGGACCCATCATCGCTCGCTCCGTCAGGGCCGTGGATCCTGAGCAAAGCTACCAGGAATCACGAAACGAAACCGAGCAAACTGTCTTCCCGGTGTCCGTCGCGTCCATGCTTCCCGTCCTGCCCAGCCACGATGGGGCTGGGCTGGTGAACCAGCCGAACACCGCGCTGATGTGCACGATACTCTGCCTGGGCACCTTTCTCGGGGCCTACTACCTGAGGATCTTCCGCAACAGCCACTACCTGGGGCGCAGCGCTCGCCGCGCATTCGGGGACTTCGGAGTGCCCATCAGCATCATCACGTTCGTTCTCGTCGATTACCTGGCCCAGGTGAAGACGGAGAAGCTGCTGGTGCCGGAGGGCCTGTCGCCCTCGGTCGCGGACAGGTCATGGTTCGTGTCTCCTGGAGGAACCGACAAGTCCATCCCCCTCTGGATGGCCTTCGCCTGCTGCGTGCCGGCTCTCCTGGTCTACATCCTCGTCTTCATGGAGACCCAGATATCGGAGTAAGTTTCTGGGGAGTTTTGACCTTCTGACCAAGCTCTATCTCGATGCTCTCTTCTTCATCTAGGCTGATAATCGACAAGAAGGAGAGGAAGCTGCGCAAGGGCTGCGGGTACCACATGGACATCGTGGTGGTCTGTTTGATGAATGTGGGCTGCGGTTTAATGGGCGCGCCCTGGTGCTGCGCAGCCTCGGTGCGATCCCTGACCCACGTCTCCGCGGTGACGGTCATGTCCAGGACCCATGCACCCGGTGACAAGCCGCACATCGTCGAGGTCAAGGAGCAGAGGGTCAGCGCGCTGCTGGTCGCCGTCCTGGTCGGCGTGAGCGTCCTGATGGCTCCTCTCCTGAGGCGCGTGCCCATGTCGGTCCTGCTGGGTGTCTTCCTCTACATGGGCATCTCCTCCACCAACGGAGTCCAGCTCTTCGACAGGGTCAAGCTCTTCTTCATGCCGGTCAAGCACCACGGGACCGCCACCTACGTGCGCCGCGTCCAGACCTACAAGATGCACATCTTCACCCTCATCCAGATCCTCTGTCTGGCCGTCCTCTGGATCGTCAAGAGCACCAAGGCCGCCCTGGCGCTCCCGTTCTTCCTGATCCTGATGATCCCCCTGAGAGCCCAGATGGTCAGGTTCTTCACGGGCGCGGAGCTGCGTGCCCTCGACAGCAAGGAACCGGAACACGAGACCAAGGAGGACGAGCTCGACTTCTACGAGGAGGCCCCTCTTCCGGGTTAAGGCTCGACGTGCATCCCTCTTCCGGATACGCTCGACCTTGAAGAACCCAGACCACGAGGACGCGGCGTCGCCAACCAAACGAGGAACGAGCCGCGTTCCTCTCTTCGTATATTTTCCCGCAATTTCTTTTCCTCTCTCTCTCTCTTTTTCTTCTCCACGGGGATCCCCTGGTCGTTGAGCGACACCGTTGACGACAATTGGAGTCCGCAGAGAGACGACTCTCCGTGACGTAGTTATTAACTCGCTCAACGTCCGCCTGTGGCGCCCCTGCGCCTGCGATTCGCTGACGAAACGATATCCTGTCGGCGCGACGGTATGCTAATTGACCGAACGATCGTTACTGTACTTAAATGCCGTTTGCGTGGACAATTCGCAGGTGACAGCGGCTAGGTCCCTGAGTCCCCGAAGAGCGCCGTTCACGCCGAGGAGGGGATAAAGCGGTCCTTCTCTACTTCCACCGAAGGCCAATTGCGCTCTCGAGGATTCGCAGAGTGTCGGCCCACTTTTCTCACGAGTGGGTCGCACGACTCTAAATCTCGACTCCGTCGTTGAGGAGCAATCTCGCGAGACCCTCTCTCTCTCTCTCTTGGAGTAATTCTTCCCAGGGCGAACAAGAAGCGGCCAGTTCTGGCGGGGGTCTCTTCCCTCGTCCCGGGAGGGTCGAATTCGGAGGATGCAAATTGAACCGCCGGCCGGTCTGTAATTTCCATAGCTCGTTGCGGGGATTAGAGAGAGAGGGGGGGAGGCCCGCTTCTTGGGCGCGGATTTACATTTGTACCTTACGTCGATATGCACTACCTCCGCGAGTAGGGATCCGTAGCTGTGTACGCAGTGCGTGACAATATTCTTGCCACGGGTCGCGCCGGCACAGCCCGACGAGAACTTCGTAGAGCACTGTACTTATACATATATACATACATATACACGTGTTAATAGACAGAGACGGAATTATGTCCCGACTCTAGGCCAATTGTTACCGACCGATCGCCGAAGGAGTCGAGGCGTATCGTCGGACTATCGCGAGGAGTAGGGCTTAACTAATAGCGGTTCCAATTTATCAATTCAATATCGATACAACGACCGGGGTGCCCGAGGAAGGGATAGCATTCTCGGTGGATGGAAGTCGTTGTCGATGATGGTGATTTAGCAATTAGGCTAGACAAGCTGTGTATCCTTGGGTTGGTGGCTCCCACCTGGATGGCGACCTACACGATGCGTCGGTCGGGTCTATTTTTCTCGAAGCACGTAGAGGTCGTAGTTGAAGTAATAAGTCGGAGAGCCGAATATGGCCGGATGGGATTGTCTAGGAGGCGAGCCGAGGGGAATCCGATTGTCAAGGGAGCGTCGAGAGGGCTTTCAGCAATAAAATTCCGGCTCGGTCTAGGCGACCCGGACGATCAAGCCGTTCCTCTGGATGTTACTCGTCGGCCGACCTCGGACTAGCTCTTTCGGGATATTAAGCCAGGTTCTTTCAAGGTGTCTCGGTACTTTAAGGCGACATGGAAGTGACATCTGCTAGGTCAATAGTTTACTGAACTTTTCTGCCAATTGGCTGTATCGAATTGTTTGAAATTCTGCCCACTCAATGGCGAGGCTTTAAGGGAGGTCCTAACATCCGTGGAATTTCATTTGTTATAAAAAATATTTTTTAAATCTTTATAAACCAATTATTAAATGAAATCTCATGGGTGTCGGTACCTTCCTTAGAGCTTTCATATTCACGTGGTGAAGTTTCAAGCGATTCGGTACACCCTGTTCGGAGAAAAGTTTCGTAAAGGAGACTCAGACGTCACTCTCGTGCCACCTTAAGATAACATACATCAGAGCCATCTTAAGTTGATGTGGAGTGGCATCTGACGAGTGAATCGTTTCTGCAACTTTTCTACAAACAGGGCGTACCGAATCGCCTGAAACTTTACAACGCGAACGTGGAGGCCATAGGGAAGGTTCCGACACTCATGAAATTTCATTTATTATAACAAAAATTTTGAAAATATCCATAAACAAAATGGAAAAAAAAATTGAACTTTTATGAGTGCCAGGACTTTCCTTATAGCCTCTATATTCACATTATCAAGTTTTAAGCGATGCACCCAGTTCGGAGAACAATTGCATAGATGAGACCTCTCTGACGCCGCTTTCAGATCCCCTTAACATCCCGATACGTCACCCCAAGTCGCGCAGAAAAATGTCGAGGTCTCTCGGACGAATTTCTCGACGTCGGCCACGAGGAACGGTGTCTGCAATAAGGCTCGGAATAGCACACCAAACGGGATTCGCGCGCGCATAGATATACGAGAAGAGTATTCTAAGAGGTCGGGAGCGAGACGCCTCCCGCGTATATGGTATTTTGATCCTTTAGAGTATTTTACTAACTAAAAAAAAAAGATAAGAAAATCGCAGCCATTGCGTCGGCGCCTGTAATGTCGGTATATCGAACGTTTCACCTACAACCGCCCTGTTTGTGCCTGCGAGTGCGTGCTAAGAGCGGTCGCGCGCGCGTCTTCGGAGGATCCCCATGTGGACCCTTGCTCTCGATATTTCTTATTATAATATTCCTCGATATTCCTTAATATTAATCGATCTTCCCGAAGACGCACGCGCGGCGCGCCGATACACGCGACTGTGATAGAAACCCGCGACGGCCCGACCAGGACCCCACGTGGGTCGGTGCTCCGAAATTAATATCTGACTTCCCGATCGGTTTTAGAGCATTCCGCCTCGGTAGAAATTTTGGCCCTAGTTCCTAGTTTCCATGTAAAAAAAAAGAAAGCAAAAAAATGACCCAAAATTAAGGACGATCGATTGGAACCTCCACCGCGCGTGCTGGCGATCCTGCGAAGCCGTCGCGGGGCGATTCCTTCGAGGGAAGGAATCTCGTTTAGGGAAAAGAGAGCTCTATATTCTACACTACGATCCATCGTTGAGACGCTATTATATATATATACACATATATACATATGTCTATATATATATGTCTACATTGCAGATTATATTCTATACGTATTATATATATATATATATGAATAAATCCCGCGGGAAAAGCCGACGATTGGGAGGAAAGAAGAGACCTAAATCCGATGAGTCGCACCTCGCGGGGCGCGACTCTCTCCTTGTACATAAAGTAGCTACATGCAGTATTAAAAAGTAATAACGAGAGCGATGGAGCGTTAGGACTGGTTCTCGCGCCTTACGAGTTGACGGAGATGCGCCGAGGAGAGGGTAATGAGAAATAAAAAAGATATTTTACTTGTCTCTCTGACGGTTTCTCACTCGAGCCCGACCCGGACCTGACCGATCGTCCCTAAATATTTTCATTTCCCAGATCGAGTCCGGACTACCCGATGGCTGTTTGAGAGGATTCGGCATGTCCTCGTTATAATCCCCAGGGCAGAGAAGACTCGACGTGGATTAAAGAGTTATTGTTAAAACCGGGAATGGCCTCGCCACGAGCGCTCGCTTCCGTTGTGAGGACCCTCAGCCCGTCTCCGCTTCCTCTGCCGAAATCATTGGCTAGGTAATGTTTCACAATTTTACGCTTGTAAATAGTTCATTACGGTGTTAAGAATTATTGCGGTTTTTGCTCTTTGAGATTCCACGCCTTGTTTTCGAAGGAAGTTGCTCTTGTGGCCGGTTGTACGTGTACCGCTTTGAAGCGAGGATTTCGCTCTGCGTGTTGATAAAAATAGATGCGCTTTAAATGTTAATTTTTATTTTATTTAAAGTAGTTAATGATGAAGAAGGGCCTTATTTGGGCGATTTCCTGGGACGAATTCAAAATGGGCGGTAAGGGAACTTGTGGCTTGCGATGGTAATGTTGCACTTAGGTAAGGAATCGATAATGAGTGCATGGGTGGTTTCAAAACTTGCGGAAACGGGAGCCTTGGAGTTCATCAGCCTTCTAGACGACTTGTAGTCGATGCAGTGATAATAAAAAAGACTATTAGAGTTTTAATAGCAATTATTGGTATCAAAGGGTAGGGCGATGCGCTTTAAATGGCTTGTTACGTGGACGAGGTGGAATCGCAACTTCATCTGAAAACAATGTGTCATATTTCAAGCAGCAAAAATTATGATTTCCTGGACAGCGTGATATATTAAGGTGATCTGAAAGTGACATCAAAGAGGTCTCATTAATGAAACTTTTCTCCGAACTGGGTGTACCAAATCGTTTCAAACTTTACTATGTGAATTCGGAGGCTATAAGGAAGGTCCTGACGTGCATACAATTTTAATTTATTAAAAATTTGTTTATAGACATTTTCAAAATTTTGCATAAAAAATAAAATTTCATGAGGGTCAACACCTTCCTCGTAGTCTCGACGTTCATGTTGTAAAGTTTGAAACGATTCGGTACACTAAGTTCGTAGAAAAGTTTCATGAACGATTGAGGTCTCGGATGCCACTTTGACATCCCCTTAAAACCGAGTTCTCGAGGTTCACCAGGTTGTCCCCGAGGAGTCCGGCTGCCCGGTGCAGCCTCTTCCCGGGGAAGGAGGCAGGACCTCGTACCATCAACCTGGACACCCCGCAGAGAAGGAAGATCCTGAAGGAAGGACTACCGAAGGAACGGGAACGGGCTATCATCGGATCGGGAGGATTCGGATTAGTAGTCAGAGCCTCCTACAAAGGTCGGATAAAAATTTATCAATCCACGATACAGATATTCCCCGCTTTCACGAATTAAGGTGAAGTGAAACACGTCGAGGAACTTGATCGACATCGATAAAAAAGATTTTTCTAAATGTCCATGTTGCCGACGTTCGTTTTTATATTGACAGCTGGGTCGAATTATATTGGATATTGTAGCAAATGGCATACTCCACCTGTCGTTTTCGTACAATAATTATAAAGAAATCGAAGTAAAACTTCAGAAATCCTCTGGATTCATGCTTTCTGGAGCCCTAATTGACTGCAGAGGGACCCCCTGCGCCATCTGTGATTTCCAGGTTAATTAAATTTTCACCCCGAGACCTCATTTTACCATCCTTTTAGCATATAAGCGCATACAATACTTTTTTTTTTTTCATTTATCCCGTTCAAATGCGAGTTTATCGATTACCAGAGGGTTCTAAATTGTCATAAAATTGTCCTGACCCTTTCGTTTCTCATATCGGAGCCTTCGATAATTGTATATCGATCGAAATATAAGAGCTCGACGCCATTTTGATTTTAGTCTGGGTTGAGTTAAAAAATTTTTTCCAAAAATCCAAATTTTGAATGTGTCAGGACAATTCTTAGACGATCAGGAGTGATGTGTCAAAGTTTCGGATAGTTTGGTCTAATACCCTTAAAAAAAAGTGCTCTATTCAAATCGACTAATTTGAAGGGGGTTTCACTTCACCTTAATTCATTGCTCCCCGTTGAACGTCTCTAAATCTAGAATTCGCAAAACGGGAGTTACCATTCATAAGGAGAAATGTATTAAAAATCCAGGTACTTCCCACTTTCTGAATCTTTATATTTTGTACATTCGTTCTTACGAACGTAACTCCCCTCTTGCATATTCTCGATTTACGAAGAATCGCCAGGAGCCAATTGATCCGCTAAGACGGGAACTACTTGTAGAAATGAAATTCGCATTTGCCGGTTTGATAAATCATACAGGAATTTCCAGGTAGCCAAATTGCAGCGAAGATGATGAGCCGCAACCGGCGAAGCGATATCACGGCAAAGGCGGAGAAGTTGGCCTCGACCTTGAACCATGAGAACATTATCAAAATCCGTGGGATCGAGCAGGGCTCGGCCCTTACCCTGATAGCGATGGAGTTGTGCGGCACGTCCCTTGAAGAGCGCCTTGAAGAGACCGAGATGGTCCCAAGAGAGCGGGTTGAGATATGGCTGGCCATCGCCAGGGCTCTAAAGTTCTGCCACGAGGCTGGGGTGATCCATGCAGACGTAAAACCGAAGAACATCCTGATCGGACCCGATGGTCGACCTAAACTGGCGGATTTTGGAAGCTGCGTCTCCGCAGAGGTCGAGGACGAGAAGACCTCGACGCGGGATCTGCGTGTACGTCATAGGCTGATCTTACAAGGAAGGTATCCCAAATCGATCTCTCCGATTCGATTTCTTTTATAATATGTTATAGTAGACTAAAAACTAAGCGACACGTATTTTTTTTTATCTGCCATTAAACACTTTAAGGGGGTGAAACCACCATCCAAAATAAGGCCTGTGAGGGGTGGCTCACCCCTTAATTTTTTTTTTTAATGGAGAAAATTATATTTTTCATTTCTCGTTATGAGAGAGCTTTTCCTGGTGGATTAGTTAAAAAATATTATGTTCTTGTGGGTGAAACTGACAAATCGCCCCTTGACATGCCTTACTTTGGATGGTGGTTTCACCCCCTTAAAGTGTTTAATGGCAGATAAAAGAAAATACGTGTCGCTTAGTTTAGTATAATATATTATAAAAGAAATCAAATCGGAGAGATCGACCTGGGATACCTTCCTTAGTTAGTCAAACCTCCAGGGAGATCTCGAGCTATTGCGATAGTTAAGGTGATAGGAAAGTGTGATATGTACGTAACAATAAGTGAAAATATTTATTAAACTTTTCTCCTAACTGGGTGCATCGAATTATCTGAACTGCTCGTGAAATTTCTCTTTTCGAAGAAAATTTTCTACTTATCTTGGACAAGAACCGGAAAACCATATTTCTTTCCGAAAAATGAAATTTCACGGGCAGCGCGTTCTTCCTTCGAGCCTCCATAATCACATGTTAAAGTTTTAGATAATTTGAAGCACCCAGTTTAGAGAAAAGTTTTATAAATATTTCTTGACTTTTTGGTATGTATATGTCACACTTTCGTACCACCTTAACCCTTTTATTACTACCGGCAACTGTGTCGCTCGCCACGGAAGTCTGCTAGAAATCGCAAGCAGAATTCACACTGTCGCAATTTCAAGACCGACTTCTTATCGAATCGCATTGTCATTTATCATATAAAATCAAAGACAATCGGCTCTCAGAGAAGGAAATCGATTTCATTGATTTCCGAGTGAATAGCCCCTTTAATTTCTTCCTGTACATCTACTTTCGTTTACTATGGACAGTTAGAATAGCCGAATATGTATAATTTCCTGGAATAATAAGTATGCAGTCGTGCGGCTTATCAAACGTTTTATCCGCAATATGTCATATATCGTACTTCTGCGAACTCTTGCGCACTATTATTATGTATTTTGTTTAAAAATTTACTGACACTACGTCGAAACGCCGGAGATTGTACATAGTTTCGTGATTTGTCCGGCGGTGGCGTTTTGTCGCGGTCTATCGCGGCGAAAGGGTTAAACGAGCCTCGCTCGAAGTTACCAGAACTAGAATAGAAAAAGGAGAGGTATTGGGTTGATTTTATTTGAAGGATAATGGGAATTTCCAGGGTACTCCGGGATACTCAGCGCCCGAGGTTGTTCGAGGAGGGACTCCTTCATCCGCGTCGGATATCTTCTCACTAGGAGTGGTCGCCTGGCAGATGGTCTCAAGAAAAAGGCCCTTCCTTGGCCTGGACATCCATGCGATCCTCTACCTCTCGGGGAACGGAGCTAGGCCCGAGAACGAGGACTTGGAAGACGGATTTGGAGGAAGGTACAAGAATTTGTACAGACACTCTTGGAAGGAAGATCCTGGAAGCAGGCCCACGGCAACGGAAGTCATCGCTAGATTGAACGATCTACTCTTAGCATTTAGTCGTCTAAGTTAGATTAGAGAAGTTCTTATTCGCTTAGTTTTCCTAATCAGTTTTGTATCTCCAGCTTAAGGAAATACATCGGTTCGAGAGGAGTTACAGGTCGATGAAAGATTTATGTATGTTTAGGGGTAGATGGTTTCTTTTTTGGAGTGGGAAGAAGTAGGCTAAGGTTTAAATAAAAACTGTTTTTGCACATGTCTCGCATTTTTCTTTTATAATATCTTGCTATGACAACTTTTTTGGTGCATAAATTTAAAGATGTACATATCGTACGTGTCCGTAACCTCGATACAAATTTTTGGCCGAATTCGAACGTGCGAATAAACATTTAAATGTGTACTTACGTGTATGTACATACATACATACTTGCGCTACTTGTACTGTAAAATATTGAGTGTAATAAAGTAAGTTATTGAATGATAACAATGAGTATATTTATTTATACGAGCATGTCTAACGAACCCTCCAATCGCCTATTTCTGATCCTTGAAAATCACCCGTAGACCTAAGTTAATGTTAATTTTCATGCGGTGGCAAAAAACGGTGAAAGCTAACGTGCGAAACTAGAGGGCAGCACAGGATGCGATCGCGCGACTGTGCCCGTAAGCAACAGAGATGTGGTAAGCAACAGAGATGAGTTGGGAGATTGCTCACGTGCAGGGTCGCGCGATCGCACCGTGTGCTGCCCT